TGTCTACTTTCTTCTCTCGTTGCAAACAGCTGCCTCAGTTTTCTAGGCCATGTGGTGGAAAACATGACTGCTGTTTGCCACGGACTCATACACAGTCACAGAGCTACTCAAGAGGAGCTCTGCTGTATCTCACCAGCTCTCATCCTCGATGTCTTTGAAGGAAGAGACGAAGTTGGCCAACTTGCATGGACACCCACCACCCTAGAGCCATTCAACTGAGGTCAGGAATAAGAGAAACAAGGTCACACTGCATGAACATGTGGATTGAGGTCTGTGATGGTGGTGTGAGAATCTGGACTGGGCCTAGGAGATTGTGATAAGGAGGGGAAAAGTGACTGGAACAGCTTCTGATGCCCCCTCTTTCTTTTGGATCTTTGCTGAGAACCCTGGTCCTCCTAAGCAGTGAATGTTAGGGATGCCTTTCCTTCTTAGACTAGATCCCAGTCACACTGCTTCCTAAGAAAGAAAACGGAAAGGGCTTCTCAGCTCCTGCCACTTCCCCTTTGTATGACTATGCCCCAGTGCACCTGAGTGAATCCCCACTGCCATATCTATACCCTCTGCATGGATCAGGACTCATTGGTTCAGGGGCCCAACCAGAGCCTCTCTCTGGGATATCTGAACTTGCAGAGATCATGGGTGAATTCCTTTTTAGAACAGTATAAGGCCATCAGTGACTATGGGTCGGTCCTTCATGTATGGAGGCAAGAGGCAGAGAGAGAGGGTCTGGAGATGCTAGTGTTTCTGGCTCTAGTTATCCTGGAGGCCTAAGTGTCCCACTGCCCTCCCTGTGTTAGATACCATGAGCTAGCCCAGTGTCTCCCAAGAAATTCCCTTCAGTCTTAGCTAGTTTGGGTAGGTTTCTCTTTGAGACCAAAAACAGCTTTGACTACTGCAGGGTCAAAGCTGCCGCCCAAAAGCTGTTTCCAACCTGGCCTCTTGCCTTCCGTATCAACCGTAGGAAGTGACCCCTCCCTCTCCCGTCATGTCTCCAGGGAGAAGTAAGTTCCAAACAGTGATTGCAACATGAGTTTTCAGTATCCGGGGAATTACTGAAATATTGGCACTCTCTTTGTGATTTTAATTTTCATATTTTAAGAATCCAATGCTTGTATCATTTATGTTTTGAGATCAGGATCAATGACCCAATTAGTAAATTTGTGATAACATTTTCTGCTTGAAAAAATTCTACCCAAAGTCAGAATGGGCTTCTCATCAGCTGCAACAATTTGTGCACAGCCCACATGATCCCGTTTCTTTTCTGAAACCTGATTTCATTTGTACTTCGCAGTGATTCTCAAAGTTGTCTGCATCTTAGGTAATACTTAGTGCATTACTTTATGAATAACACTATTTTTTTACTGAATTTTTCATTTTAGAATATTTGCCATTTACAGAAAAATTACGAGGAAAATTTAAAGAATTCACATATACTCCAAACCCAGTTTTCCATCTTATTAATTTTTTACATGCGGTTCAAACCCACCAGCCACTCCTCGGAAGGACAGTAGGGCAATCTACTTCCATAGTGATACTGCCTCAGAAACCCAAGGAGGGGTCACTATGAGTTGGGTTCGACTCCATGGCAGTGTGTTTGGTTTGGTTTGGGTATGGCACATTTAGGAGTTCTGGTGGCATAGTGCCTAAGGCATTTGACTGCTCATCAGAAGGCTGGTGGTTCAAACCCACCAGCCACTCCTTGGAAGGAAGACTGGACAACCTACTTCTGTAGAGGTACAGCCTTGAAAACCCAAGGAGGGGGTCGCTATGAGTCAGAACCCACTTGATGGCAGTGAGTTTGGTTTTTAGGTTTCATGGCACACTTGTCATACTTAATGAACCAATGCAGATACATGATTCTTAACTGAAGCCCACACTTCCTAGCTCTTTTCCAGTGTCCTTCTGCCCCGGGGCCCCGTCCAGGACATCACATCCCATTTAGTCGTCTCGTCTCCTTGGTCCTTCATGGCTGCGGCAGCTCAAGACCCTATTTTTATTAATTTTATCTGCTAGTAACTTGATGAAGGATCACTGTTTAATGTTCATATATTACAAATTTACATTTTTATAATGCTTATACTTTAATATTTTGAATTACATTAAATATTTTCAAGGTTATGAATTCTGAGCACATACAAATATTAGTATTAACATCAGTATTTTGGAATTACGTAAAAGCAATCCTGAAAGTCCAGTGTTCCCATTTTTGCCCTGGCATAGCAGGCACCAGACCCCAGGGGTGGATGGGCAGAGCGTGGTGAACCTGAACACAGGACAGGTAAGGCCTCTGCCACAGGGCAGTACTGCCCAGAACCCAGGAGGGGGCAGCAGAGGTTACTTGGGCAGTGTGACAGTTGGAGCTGTGTGTCAACGTGGCTGGACCACAATTTTGTGTGGTTTAAGCAGTTGTGATGTGGTTATTCCCATGATGGGATCAGATGAATACGTTCAGCCAATCCATTGAAAGGGAGTTTCCCTAGGGGTGTGGCCTGCTTTTTGTATATTTATGGACATCCTGGGAAAAGAGACACTCTTCTGTGGATCAGGATTCTGCCTACAACTGTCTGTGAGCGAACAATCCACCATTCGGCCTGGAGATCTTGGATTCATCATTTGTTGGAGTCAACAGCCAGTATACTGCCTGCCCATCTTGAGCTCCTCGGCCCTGCAGCTGTGTGAGTCGGGAAAAGCCTCCAGCTTGATGTTTGATCCAAGAACTTTGGACTTAACAGTTTCTATGTGTTAGCCATTTTCTGAAGAGAAATTTCTCTTTCTCTCTCTATATAAGCTTTACTGGTTTTCTTTCTCTAGAGCACCCAGTCTAAAACAGACAGCAGTGCCCTCCTCAACTCAGTCTGTAGTTAGAGGGGGGGTGGGAGGACAGACTGTCTGGGGCCGGTCATCTGGTGGAGGCTGGGTGCAGGAGCAGATAAACCCAGCTGTGGAGCTGATACTGGAAGGTGCAGAAGGCACTGGGAGAAGGCACACTCGGGCCCAGGGTGGGCCCATGGAGGTGAGAGTCCAGGGGAAGTCCCACCACGGGGGCCATATGGGGCATCCAAGGCATCAGGAGAACATTTCTCAATATGCACCCCATAACTCAGTTTAATCAGATCTCGGGAATCCTCCTCTCCAGCCACCACAGTTGGTTCTAGTGTACGCTAAAATTCAAGAAACTCCTGGCTAGAAGTATGGTGACAAATGCCCAGGCGGGTCCCATGAGCTGATTAGAGGAAGGCCCTAACAGCACAATGTTCTTCCAACTAGATGGTACCCAGTTACCTTTGTCAACCACTTGGAGGGGGATCGGTGCAGGAGACCCTGGATAGAGTGGGAGAGAAATGTGAAACGAAACTCAAAATCAAAAAGAAAAATAACCAGGTTTGCTGGTCTGATAGAGCCTGGTGAGACCCCTGAGATCATGGCCCCTAGTTACCCTTCAGGTCTGGAACTGAACTCACTCCTGTGGCTGCCAGCCAAACAACAGACAGGCACATGGGGTGAACATTTACATCAGTAGGTACACTCCATGGAGTGATCAATCATGGGAGAACAGGAGGGCAGTGTTTGCACAGGGAGACAGCTCTGGGGGCCAAAGTGCATGGGAGGGAAGGACACAGGGAAGAGGTAACTACGGGGAGGAAGTGGGAAGAGAGTTGTTACATTGTGGGGAATTGCAGTCAATGTCATGAAACAAAATGTGTATGAACTGCTGTATGGAAAACGAATTTGCTCAGTAAACTTTCACCCACAAATTTAAATAATAATAATAAAAGCACAGTATTCCTCCCCAGTCACGAAAAGCACCCGATTGGGCCAGCACCTGGGGAGGCAGAGGGGGCTTAGGGTGTTTTTGCAGCAGAAGGCTTCCCACCATGGCCCCTCGGGACCCTTTTAAGGCCCTGGTGCCTGCTCCTGAAGCCAGAGGATTTCAAGCAGACAACCTGGGGCTCAGACTACATAGTGGGGAAGGAGCAGCGTGGAGTCTTGGAGTGGTATCTCGTGTGGGGTGGAATGCCGATGCATCCTCTCACGGCCTCCCTAGTCCCCCCACATCCAGCATCCCTGAGGCCCAGAGCCTGCTTCTCTGCAGCAGGGGCCCCAGGCCCAGGCCAGTCCCAAGGGTTTAAGTGTGTGTCATTTGCCACCAGTACCCGTGCTACATTCCCTGTCCTTGCTCTGTACAAAGCTGGAGAGGGCTTTCTTGTGTTAGCCAAACCTGGTTTATTTGTCTTACACAGCTAGGACCCTGGGGCTATTATGCAATGAACTTTGCACTCCGGCCACGTTATTTTAGAGCAACGTTAAAACTTAGCTACCATTGAGTCAACTCCAGCTTAGGGCGACCCCACAGCTGTCAGAGTAGAACTGCTCCATGAGGCTCTCAAAACTGGTTTCTCGGGAAACAGGTCACCAGGCTTTTCTTCTGAGGCACCTCTGGTAGTTGAATTCCCAATCTTTTGCTGCGCCTTAACTACGTGCACCCCCCAGGGACTCCAGAGCGGTATTAAGTCTTTGCATTCCCAGTGCCTTTCTCATGGTAAAGAGGAAGCCAGGGCATCTGCCCCAGTGGCAGTGCTGGCAACAGCCTCCTGGCTCTGGAGGCTACCTGTGCCAACCACCCCCCAAACCAAACCAAACTCACCACCACAGAGTTGATTCCTACTCATAGTGACCCCACTGGAAATCTTTACTGAAGCCGACTGCCTCAACTTTCTTCTGCAGAGCAGCTGGGGGATTGTACCACTGACCTTTATGGGTTGTGCCTTAACCACTACCCATAATGCCTTAACCACTACCCTGCCAGAGCTCCTTGCTGACCACCCAGTGGGTAATTAATATAGTAAGTATGTAAGATCAGCATCGGAAAACCACAGGTGGCCATTTAATCATAGGTGTGCAGTGTTACATCCTTAGTAGAGTCGAAGCTGTTTGATATTTAAATTCATTACAATTTATTGATCTCTCCAGAACTTTCTTTCTACAGAGGTTTACCATAGTTAGGCTTCCTTTCGTCCACAGTTCATGGCATATTCAAAGTCTTTAAAGCTGACATGACCATCCGAGTCTTGATCTACTTCCCTGGAAAATGAAACAAAAAATCATTTTTGTTTTGTGTTACTGGCATTTTCATCAGCACTGACGCATCAGGGGCCCACGAAGAGTTTTGTTTCTCGGCTGGGCTGAGAGAGGTTCCCATTTTATCTCGGATGGTCAGCTATGTGAAGGCAGAGGGATGCCTTCATTTTCTGCCCCCTTGCAACTGTAATACTTGAGGTACGGAGGAAAGGAAAAGGTACTTACTCAAAGTTGCAGAAATAATATATTCGACATATTTAAAGGAATGAGGCCAAAGCACAGATTATGTAAGGAAAGAATGACTTTCTAGGCAGCTACAAATATCTCCCTGTGATACCTCAATAAATATAGAGACATTACATAGTAGGTATGTGGGATAAACAAATAAATGAGACAAACGTTTTGTGCGTGAACAACGACTGTGGCGACGATTCTCATCCCGCACAGTAGCAGCGCCTGCTGTGGTCAAGTCCAGTCCAGCACCTGACCCCAGGTGTGTCGGAGCAGCTCTGTGCTCCACAGGGTTTTCCAGGCTGGGTTGTTTTTGGGAAGTAGATCACCAGGCCTTTCTTGTGAGGGACCTCAGGGCAGAGCCGAACCTGCAACTTTTTGGTTAGTACCAAGTGTGTTTACCAACCGCCGGCTCCGCTGAGGAGCTCTGAACATCCTGCCGCTACATTCCTTGCCTCACTGAATCTTCGCACCAACGCTGGAATCGGCCCATTTTACTGATAAAGACACAGAGCCGCCAGGAGGCACAGCAGTTCTCTCAAGATCACATGGCCAGGAAGTAGCAGAGTGGGAACTCAAACCCAGATCATGACATTCCAAACCCATGCTCTCTGCTCTTCCCTGCAGCCCTCCCTAAATAACTAGGGTGCGCCAGAGAGAGCGGCCAGCGCAGTTCCACGTGGCTCCGGGAGTTTTCCTGGCTTCATTCGAGACCTAGCTGCTCTGTTAAATGCTCACCAACATCTGATAAGCTCTTTCCACTCATAGGCCCAGTGAGGAAGATGCAAGCCTGGGGTTGGTCAGCCGATGGTGTTGGTGGCCTTAGCTGGGTTGTCCCCGTGTGTCCCCAGACCTGTTGAGCCAGGGGCGCTGCTGCCTGAACACGGAGCAAAGAAATGGCAGCCACAGCACACGGTTAAGGCAGCCCATGTCGGAAGGACGGAATCATGGCATTACCAACACTTTCAAATCGTTTCCAGGAAAAGTAACGTTGATTAAGAAATGTTTTTGAAAGAATAACTGATGAGCTGCGGTCACTGCTTCTCTTTGAGGGGCAAGTGGAACAATGCATTACATGCCTTTTCTGAAGCCTCTGTGGTTGATACCAATTAAACTCTGTTGAAACAACAAATGGTATCAGCCATGACACGGCTTTTTAAAGCAGAGACGGGCCCGAGTAACAGAGCCACTAATCACTGTAATAGTTTTAAAGCAGGCTTTTAAAATATTGAATTCTAAAATAAACTTTCTGAATATTTCATGGCAAAGTCTCTGAAGTCTAATGGTTCTGGAGAGAGCGATGATCATTTTTCATTCTTTTGAAAGAGAGAAACTCCCTGCTTTTCCGCCGCTGGGCACCACCTTGTCGCAGCGTTAGGGCGGAACGGCGACAGGGCGCTGCAGAGGCCGTCAGTCTTGCTACTTTTTTTGGTAAAACAGACATGACCATGCCACACTATCCAGGACCAAGAGCCTCATGTTAGATCTCTTCTAAGGGAGTAGAAAGAGTTGGCATCACGGGTCCCTGGCTACAAATTAGATCATTGAAGATTCTTCATAAGGCCTAACTGTCTTCCCCCCAAGGAGCTGGATGAGCTGAGGGGTCTTTTATTCCACCCTCAACAGGTGTGGCTGAACTAAAAATCTAATCTTAGGGGGTGAGTAAGCAGATAAGCTAAACAAGTAATGTTTGGAATAAACTGCTTCTGATCTTTTTGTGTGTGTGTGTGTGTGGGTTGTTTATTCACATATTGAGATGCTTGTAGAAAGGGGACTCCCTCTGCCTGGTACTCTCGGGAAATGGCCCTGTGTAATGCATTCACTTCTTATGTTTCTAGCTGCCTTTCCAAAGCTTCCTGTCAAAGATGGGCACCATAAAGACAACAAGTGTCCAATGGGAAAGTGTGCTGCTAACACTGGAGTGGGGGTCGTTTACACGAGGAGTGCTGAGGCATCACTTTCATATTTAGAGCGAGAAGAGCCTAAATACTTTGTCTTCTCATGTTTCTTCCTCATCTTCTATCTTTGATTGTATCTGGCTGCCTCAAAGAGAATGAAGAAGAAATTCACGCTTCTAAGCTATGATTTTAAAAGCCAAGATAGACTGTCTGTCATGGCAGAAAGAATTATTCTGAGGAAGGAAGATTGCATAGAGCCTACACGCCACTCACTGGGTGATGAAAGAACAGATGTGCCCAGTGGGTAAAACGAGAGATGCTCTGGGAGAGGAGAACACATGGCATTAGGCAACCAGTAAGAAGTTCCATTGTTTCTCTTTACAGAATCCAACCTACTGCAGCGTGGTGTTTTGGTTTCACCACGACAGTCCCTGCCTCACCCTGACTAGCAGTGAACTAGAGGGCAAGAATTTGGTATGTTCACTGCTGTATCCCCAGCTCCTGGCACGTATCAGGCAACGCGTGCCTGCTGAACAAATGAATTTGTGGAATAAATGAATCTGGGAAAATAGTTGACATCAGGAAACAACTCCTGCCTTCTGGGAGGTCCTGAGGGGTGAGAGAGAGACACTCGACCATCAAGGTCTCAACAAACGAACAACTGGACCATTGCTGGGAGTCAACTCTGATTCACGGTGAGTCGTGTGGGTCCGAGTAGAACTGTGCTCCGTAGCATTTGCAATGGCTGTTTTTTTCAAAAGCAGATCACCAGGCCTGTCCTCTGAGACACCTCTGGGTGGGCTCCATCGAACTGCCAGCCTTCTGGTTAACAAATGAATGTGTTAACTGTCTGCACGGCTGAGGGCTAGTCAGAGGAACAAGACACATCAAAGAAGCAAGATGAGAACCATTCCTTGGGGCCCCATAAGTCAGCCAGTTATGGGCTCCTTGGCCAACCACATTCAGTATACACAGACCAGGCACAAGAGAGATCAAGTGAGAGATGAACTTTGAAAAAACGAGACTGTAGAAGTGAGGCAATGGATGGGAGAAAGCCCTTGAATGCCACCCAAAAGCAGGAAACTGGGAACCAAGGTGGACCACCAGACACACCTGAGTCTTAACTTGTTCTGTAGCCGAAGCCCAGTTGCTTTCACTCAAGTATCTGCCCTTTCCTCCGACACATGGCTATGGACGTAGATACATATACAAGCTTACATTTCAAAACTGGCTCTTCAAAGAAATTTTCAGAGCTTATACAGATGTAAGCGAGGGAAAGAAATCTCTATTAATGGCAATAACTGCCTTCTAGAAATGCATGTCCGGTTAAATTAAAGGCTTTTCTGTTTGGTTCTGGGAGGCAGAAGGGAGATGTGGCATTGATTTTGGGAGTTAAGACTCAAGAGAGCTGAACTGCTCTGATAATGGAGTACGAAGATTCAGGAACGCCTGGGAGGAAGGGGATGACAACCAAGTAACAGGGTGGAGGAAGACGGCTACTGGGAGGGCAGGGGCTGGGGCACTACGGGGGAAAGTCAGCCTATGAAAGGTCCCCAGTGATCACAAGCCCTTTCACCAGCTGCTACGAGTCCCTGGGTAGCAAAAATGGCTAACGCTGAAATGCTAACTGAAAGGCGGGCAGAGGGGCCTAAACAAAGGCCTGCGGTCTGCTTCCTAAAGAGCCACAGCAGTGAACACCCTACGGAGCGCGGTTCTACCCTGCGACACGTGAGGCTACCACGAGTGGAAGCCATTCCCCAGTGACTTGTTATTTATCTTTCAATGTTTATAATACGCTTCAGAGTTGTTTACGCTGCTGGGGTAACATCTTTCCCATCTCCCCTCAGGGGTCTAACAGACCACACTACCGAGGGTGATGGGACATCTGTGGTGTTGGTGTTGAGTCAGGAGCTGAAAATTGAGTGAGGAGATGAGGACTCTCTTAGCTTGTGCACTGGAGAGCAAGAAACGCAAGTGGGGATTGGGAAGAGGAGCAGTCAAGTGAGTGAACTCAGAGAAAGGAGTAATTCTGAGCCTGAGATAGCCACGAAGCCATCAGCATCTTGGGAAGCTCTTCACAGCCCCACAGGGTAGAGAACAACGGGTCTACAGACTTCAAACGACGGGACCCAGCCGCCACCAGCACGCATCACGAACGTCACCCAGCACTAGGCCTGGTCCATTTGGCCAACTGACAGCATTCCTACCTATTAAAATACAAACATGTTCTGAGTCAT